ATATATATATATATATATATATATATATATATATGGTTAAAAATATAAAATTAAATAATTTAATAATTGAATTGGTTAATTTTGTGTCCACAAAATTTAGATGTAATTTCACTTGTGTTTTTAGTATTACTTTACAACTAAAATTACTTTTATGTGCAAACCATTATTAAACAAATTATTTAAATGAAAATTGTGGAACAATACGATAAATGTCTAAAGAATTGTATTTTTTTCTTTTTATATCCTAAGAAAAGTGTCTAAAAGTTTATTAAGTTATATATTAATGTAAAAGTTTTTTTTTGGTAATATAAATGTTAAAAGTTTGACACTTAAAATCAATTGATCCTATCATTTAATCTATACGTTAAAAATTATAATGTCTGTATTCATTAAGGTGTTGAAAGTGATTCGTGTATGTTAGGCTTTATTCTTTTAATTAATGAGAAAATGACTTAAACGTGAAAAGTCTATGAATATAATTAATTACTTCGGACCATGTCCTCGTTAGTCAAAGTTTGAAAATATTTTAGAAAGGCTTATTATTCAACCTGTTTTTCTATAGTCATAAATTATATTTTCATATTAATAACATATAAATGTCCACTGTAATTTTGTACAATATTAATATTATCACCCGTGATATATATGGTCGAATATTTGATTATTTAGTTTTATTTATTTTATTTTCAATACAAAAGATTAATATAATTTGTCGCTTTTCATTTAAAATATATTTGTTGAATATAAAATGTTAACATTATAATTATTTTAGGATTTAAAAACATTTTTATTTTAGAAAAATGGTTTTTAAAATTAATATTTGTGTTTTCAAGTCCTTATATTTAATTAAAAAAATACTGTATTTAAGTTCACGACCAAACTATTTATAGCAACTAAAAGTAATGGTTTTTAAATTTCTTAACAACTACAAACGAAGAATAATACTTAAATTTCTATAAATAAAAAGAAAACTATATGTATAACATCAATTAAATACTAAATTAATATTTATGTTTAATTTTATTTCAATTATATATTATTTTTAATTTGATTATTTTAAAACATGTTTTGCGAAGATAATAATTAAAAATAAATATTTTCTAAATATACAATTAAATTTAGCATAAATAATAATACTTTTTTAAAATATTAATTAAAATAGATAAATTATTACGTGTATATATGTATGTTTGTAAGTAAAATAGTAAGGTTTAATATATATTTGCATACGTTAAGGAAGAAGTGTATGTAGTTTAACACAAGGAAAGAATACTGTGTAATACTTGTATTTATGGGAATAGGTATTGTAAAAGAATATTTTGGTAATATTATTTTAACAAAAACTAATTGAATTTAAAAAAAAAATATATTAAAAAAAATGAGTAAACTGTCATATTCAAGAGAGGAGATGTATTTTTTTAGCACTGTAATGTTTGTATATATAAAGGAAGAGAGTGCAATTTTTTTTTTATAAATGAATCATCTAAATTTTGAAATGGATGGCAGGGAGAAATTATCATCTAAGAGAATTTTAATGAAACTTATTAAATTCAATTTTTGTATGAATTATGTCAGTATCTAATGCATTTATCTAAATATTACAAAAAGGATATAAATATTAATTTGAAAATTAGACTACTTAGAAAATTATTAATAATATTTCTTAATTTGCTGTCAAATTTATTTTATGAACGGATAGACATACTAATTCCATTAAAATGTATGCCAAAATGACACAAACATGAGGAAAGTTACCTAAGTTTTCATTTGCAATGCCGAAAGATACCTTTACATGTTAGGTAATCCCCACTTTGATAGTCAAAAAGTTATTCTATTATTTGTAGAACATGAAATTCAGTTATAATCTTGGGATGTTAGAAAACACTTTTCAATCAAGATTAAGAGTATTTCCTAACATTAAAATTTAGAAGAAAAATGACGTCAAAGGTTTTGTTATATGTATATATATTAGTGTCGGTTGCTTTTCTTAACTATTTTATGGTTAGAATTAATTTAGTTCAATTTGATTTTAAAACAAATATAGTAGTTGTTATATATGTTCCATAATACTCCTATTATTATTTTTTTTGTCTTCTTACGTTTTTCTTCTCTTTTTTTTTTCTTCTATATTATGCAAAAGAAGGAGAAAATGAAAAAAGGAACCCTTGATCTCTAAACCTTCTACATTCATCATTTTGTCATGAATCACCTAATTGCAATTAAATTTCTGTTAGAATGTCACCACATGTGTTGACATCTCAGCAAGGGAATAAGGAGGTAGATCACAAAATTAAAATACTAAAACTTGTCTAATTAGATAATATTTTCTTTACATTATACCTAACCAAATCAATTCAAATCATGATAAGTCTTATCCCTAATGGAAAACTCTCTAACTAACTAGGTCAAACTACATTAGCACAATTGAATGGTACTTGTAACAAGAATGAAGAATCACCATGCTTCTCTCATTGGCCACCAATGCCTCCACGTCAGATTAGAACTCAACTTCTACCAAAACTCACATCACATCCGTCCATAGTGCCAAGTGTGCATGTGATTTGAGAGTCATGGTTTGTTTTTATTCACATAATAATGGTGGGGGCCCTTTTCTTTAATAATGGTTGATGGGAGTAGAAGGTAAACCAATTTTATTTACCTTTTCTTCTGTCCTAATTGTGTATATATAATTGATAATTGATACTTTATCTTGTGATCCACGTTCACTTCTCATTCCACGTGAATACTTTTCTATATGCATAATATAATAAAAAGGGTCAAAGAGGGTTACAAAATTATTACTTAATTTATATCAAGATGCATTCTATATAACGAAAAGTCAGATTAAATTTTATTTTCTCTCATTATCAAGTTATTGTTTTTTTTAACTTTCTAAATCTTGAATTAGTAGTTATAAGATTTACATCAGATATGAAAGTTGATTAAGATTAGTTTTTAGGTAAGTTATGTCTTATGAACATAAATTATTTTTTAACTATCAATTTTAGAACATTGTATGAATTAAGTTCATGGAAAAAAAATTATTGTTTTTTCTTTTTAATATTCGCACTCAAGTATTGAGTTGTACATAAATTTTTAATATGACTCTTGAATTCCAAGGATAAGGGGGCCAAGACTGAATGATTCAATTTGTGATGATTTAATTATATTACTTGGACATTCAAAAAGGTATTCTAGGCATCAATAATAAGCTACTGAATTATGTGCAATTTAAGTAAGGGGACATTTCATAATCAAGACAAAGACTTAAAGCCTGTCATACCAAATCACTTATTGCAAAATGCTAGTATATCAAGTCAGTGATGCCATTCAAAAGGTGCTCTGCCTGTGCCATCTTAAGAACCCTATTGGTGGGGTGATTTGCAGTACACAAAGTGTCAACACAAAAAATCTAATTACAAAGTCTGAAATCCCCTAACAACTTCACCTTGGTAGGAGTTGGTTTATTTTGTTGGCCTATCTGTTCCTTCAAACCATAAACTTTCCAACCAACCCTTCCAAAAAACAAAGAGCAAAATCAAAAAGAAAAACCTGAGAAAGAAAAGGAAACAAACACCAACATCTCATATAAACCTGTGTGTTATAGGGTCTTCATTGGTGAGAATTGAGAAGCCACTCAATTCATCAATTCCAATGGAAGTTTCGTGCAAAATTTTGAGGAGATCAATCCACAGTTTTCTTCAAAACTACCATTATTTCACCTCAACTGCAGCTTTTCTTGCCCTTCCTTTCTCAGCATCAATACTCCTATCACAAGCTTTAGTTCCAAACTCTTCATCCCTCTTGCCTCACATACACAGTCACCTAAGGACTCTCTTTGATGCTGCAGGCTTTCCTTCCTCATCACAATTGTTTAGCATTCTCAACCTCAAGGTCTCTCAAACCATCACTTCCTCGATCTTCACCCTTCCCTTCACTCTCACATTTCTCCTCATTGCAAAAGCATCCATAATTCAAGCTCTAAATCACCACAAACCAACTTTGCCACCTTCCTTCACTTCCATCATATTCCATTACAAGCCTCTCCTCCTCACCTATATCCACAATTCTTTCTTCATCCTCGCAGCAAATGCATCTTGCTTTTGCCTCCTCTTTTTGGCCTTCACCTTTGCTGAAGGGCTAGGGTACTCTTCAGCAAGTTCCACACTTTTGATGTCAGCTGCAGCTGCAGTTCTCTTTTCTGTGATACTTGCCAATGCACTTGTGATTTGCAACATGGCACTGACTCTATCTGGCATGGAGGGACATGGAGGGTACATGGCAATTCTGAAGGCTTGTGTTATGCTAAGGGGAAAGACATCAATGGCTTTGTTCCTAGCACTGCCTGTGAATTTAGGCCTTGCTGCCATTGAGGCCTTGTTCCAGTTCAGGGTTGTAAGAGCCTATCATATTGGTGGAATATCATCATGGCCTTTTATGGCTTTGGAGGGCATTTTCATTGCTTACTTGTACTCAATTTTCATCATCATTGACACAATTGTGAGCTGCATGTTTTACAAAAGCTGCAAGGTTGGATTGTGGAGTGGTCAGGAAGATAAGCATTTCTTGAGAATTGAATTCCCAGAGGAGGACAATTGTGGTTACTTGGTATTCAAGAATTTTGAAGAACTACCTTAAGTAACATAAGGTAGCAGCATATTGTTATCAATTTGGTTAAAGCTTTTCTTCTCTTGCATCACAAAAGGGACATTTGAAAAATTCATTCGTGTTACTTGACTGAATCGAGCAACTTCCGAAGGCATAAAGGTTTTCGGTAGAGGAACCACGGCTCAGCAAATGTGCAGAAACAAGAAGCTAGAGATCGATTCACCATTTTATTTTAATGTCCTTCTTTTATATTGTTAAAATCTGCCTTCTTTTTATTCCATATCTCAATCTTGTATATTTATTGTTAATCTTTTACTTGTGAATAATACAAAGGTTCCTGTTTATTTCATTGTGTTTAGTAACGAGTAGATAGGTGAATACTCGTATCTTAATGTTACAGGAAAATAAGGGCCACATAATTTCTTTTATGCGAGTGTTACTGTTGCTTTTTAGTAAATCTAGAAGCTGCTGCCAGCATAATTTCTTTCAGAATCACGTGAAAGACAAATTAGAGGCAAAGCAATCTACTGGTTGTTTAGGGGCCAAAAAGGACTTTTGCTATGTGGACTCTGAAGAACATGTTCATTTTACATAAGCTCAAGCCTCTAAATTCTTTATCAAAATGTATGTAGAAGACCACCAAAGTGTCAAACTGATGAATGATAGGGAGTCACTATTATGACTTGTTTTAAGTAAACTTCTTTAAAAATACTTTTAAGTGAGAAAATTATGAAAGAAAAATAAAATAAATTTTTTTATAAACTAAAATTAATTTATGTATAAACAAATTTGTAAAAGTTCTTTCTTATTAGTCTTTCCAAAATCATATTTTTAACTTATGTATAAACTAGTATTAACTTATCATTATGAAAAATTTTATTTCAAATTTTCTTCATATTTTTTCTCCTAAAAGTGCTTTTAATTACAGAAAAAGCTGAATAGCTTTTATAAAGTTCAACTGAAATTTAGTGTTTTTAAATCACTCTTGTAGAATATTTCCAACTTGATCATCCGTTGTTAAGGCTACAAAGTTGAGCAACAGTGGCAATGCAAATGCTGTGGGAAATTCCTGTACCAACACCAGTATCCATGAATTTATCTAATGGGTCAAACCTTGAGGCAAGGAAAACATGTAAAATAGGATAGCAAATAAGTTAATACTTACCATTCCCACCATGCCTCTTTACGGTCACAATTAGATATCAATGAAGTTAAGGCACGGAAATCACTCCTAAGAATGCAATGTAAATATAATTCTGCATTTGGACTTTTACAAACTTGGTTTTAGTGACTCTGGCAGTGCCTGTTGTGCCACAACAATTCTAAATGGAATTGAAAAACGTCTTTCTACTACCAAAATGTGTGCACACACTCCATCCCTGGGACAACTGAATGCAACAAGCTTTTGAACTTCACACTAATGTGTATTGCATTTCACAAGATAAATGAAACTAGCATTTCTATCTCGTCCTTCTCTTCACCTGTGTTACAGTTACAGTACAGAGACCTGATTTCTAATTCTTAACCTGACAGCTATACAACATGCTCTTGGGGTGTCACGCTAAAATGTCTACTTAAAACTAGTTTCTATTTTACATGAGAAAGGGCTCGATCTTTGTACAAGGTTTCATGGTACAACATTAGCTTTGGTGCTGGACTAATATCCCAAATGTATGATGAAAACCAAAGCCAGCTCTACTGCAATAGAAGCATATTTTTTCAAAATTTCTTATTAATCGAAGGATCAGATCCATTATCATAGAATTCACTGGATGCAGATGATTCTCAGGTGATCATGAGAAGCATCCATGCTGGGTCTAAATTTGGCCTTTCAAGAGTATTCTTCTGTGAATGATCAGCAACAATCTGATTCAACATGTCATCACTCTCAAATCTTTTTATATGTTCAAAGGTCTCTAGGTGGAAATAATTTGTCATTCCACTTCATTAGATTACCTTGAAAGGCTAATTGTCACAAAGGGGCTACTTAACTCAATGTCGGAAGCAGTCCCCTTACTGCCCACAGGTAGATCTCTGTCTTTGGCAAGAGAATGATGTTGGTGCAAAGGATCAGACAACCCAGTCTTCACCTATCTTTGCCCTCTTCCTCGACATGTGAATGCCCTTAACCTTCTACACTTCGACCACTTTCTCAGCTTTCTTCTTCTTCTTCATCTTTTCCACTCTTCCTTATCAAGTTAATGCCTTTAACCTTCTCCATTTCAGCCTCTTTATCAGCTTTCTTTTTCTCTAACTCTGCTTGTTTGCAATTTTCTTCATGTGCTTTTAGAAACAACCTTGTAAAATTCAAGAGAGTTACAGTAACTGCAATCAACAAAAAAGCAACAATAAGAAATTAGTTTAAGCATTATAAAATAGATAACAGAACATGTCACTTCCTTTTGCCAAACAAATCATTAACGTGCAAGAATGATGAAACTACACTCAGTCCTGTTTTTCCTTATCTACTCTCCTCTTTCACCCTCTACTTTTCTGCCATATCAACAGGAAGAATAAGTATTAATGCTAAACAAACCTTGCTCAAAAGGACAACGGGCAGGATCCTCACCAAAATATAGGGCAAGTGCATCTGCGTTTCTACCCTGTCCACACATAAATCACACAATCTGTATATCCCTTTATACCTATGTATAATCTATCAAAAAGATGGTTAAGCATATTACCACCACAGAATATAGGTTTGTTACAGATACCACCTCTGACTCTGCAACAGCAATGAATTCCTTCAATGTCTGAAAAAACAAAGTGAGTCAAATGCATTGAAAATACACACTTGATTACAGACTTATACTGATAGGAACCATATTTAATAGAAACAAAAAAATATTATTGATTTGAAAAACAAGAACTATTACAGAAGATGACCCCTGTAATCCCAGAGCTACTGCTCCTCAGAGAGAAGAAAATTCTCTCTTTGCCCAACCCACAAGGTTTCTAACAGAAAAGATACTCCATTCCCTTTTCCACTACCCATGCCTTCTCCCTATATATGATACTCCATTCCCTTTTCCACTACCCATGCCTTCTCCCCATATATGTGTTTCCTCCCGTAACTAACTGGCCACATCAGCAATTACAACTAATTCTCTATTCAGTCCACTTGTTAGGCTTTAGCCCAAACCCAGTATCCTATCATTTACAAACTAGGAGTCCAGGATTAGCTTCATGCATGCAATGTAATGGACAATTTGTTCAATTCTAAAACATGTTGAAGGACTCCTTAATTTTGGTTTGACACAATATTTGTTCAAGACTAAAGTAACAAATGCAAAATAAATATTTAGTGTCATCGCATACATTCTGCTAAAGATGTGATATAAAACCATTCATATGTCTTCACCAAATAAATTAAGCTTTTGCGAAAGTTGATTCTTGACATGGTTTCAGAGACTTGATGACCAAGTAGTTCAGAATTTGATCGTTACCACTCATTCTTCTAATAAAAAGTTGAATCTAGCACAAGGCAGGAAGGTTGGTGCATAATACAAGCTTCAAGCCCAAATGGCTCTTGCACAAGGGAGAGTGCTAGAAATGCAATATAAAACCATCCATGTACCTTAGCTAACAGCTAGAGCCTTTGAGAGAATAGGTACATGACAACTTCAATGACTTACAAAAAAATCAATACCAACACTACTTCAAGCATGTTACCATTATAATTTAGGTGAAGATGGTAAGAATGTATTCAAGTGTTGAAAAGTTTAGATGAACAAGCTTAGAACCAATGTGAAATTGAAAATAAATCAACATAAGCATTTGGAATGTGAACTCGGAATTAGATAAAAGAAAATTTCTTTTGGAAAGCAAAAAATAATTGATAGAGAGAAAAGGGCAATGTAAAGTCTGATAAGATTTCAGGAATTGCAACTCCCTGTAAGAAACCATGAGCAGAACATAAAAAGTAGTAATAAATACATTTTTCTGCCATAACAAGTTGAGAGGAAAACTGGAAAAAGAGACATCCTTAATGATATGAATAAGCGTTTCACTTCAACAACTGAATAAAGCACACGACTCTTTGGCACCCATCATAGTAAAAACTAAAAAATTTGGAAGAACATAACACTTCTTTACAAAAGGCAAGTTGTTTGAGAAAGAAACAGCAACAGTTCCCTTCTCTTCAGATTAGGAAGTTTCAGTTTGAGCTTCTTCTAGGATTCTGCTGTTCAATTCTAAATCTTTGTGAAAACTCAAATTTTTTTCCTTCATTTTCTTTCATTTTTATCATCACTTTCAGAAAAGTTATGTGGGAGAAAAGGTTGCTTAATTCCAAAGTAAGGATATCCCCCACAAACTCATGGAGGGCTTAGAGTAGTACACTAGTTGTAATATTCTGTTTTTGCTTAAATCACTTATGTATTGCCTTTCATTGGATTGAAACTGGTAGCTAAAGAAAATTTCATAACTCCAGAGTCCATCCCAACTCAATAAATAACCCTACAAGCCCTTCCAAAAGACCAACATCAACTCCAATATTTACCTATTTGTATGAAAAATAAATATTAAAAAAAAACTGTGAGCTTCTGAGAGTTGTTGCTTAATTTCCACAATAATATCTTCTATCAGAAAGTATCTAATTCTCAGGGTTTACTTGCAATTATGGAGTGGTTCTTGGAACTTTAATTATCACCCTTTACTGAAGGGAAAATAGGTGATGCTATAAAAGTTCTATTTTAGATCAAATCTTACTTCTCTAGGTTTAGCCCCCGATTATATAGTTGTTCTTGGAAACAATGCTACACCCCTTAAGGGGAAATAGGTGCTACCATTTTATAAATCAAAAGACAGACCAAAATTGCACTTAAATACAATGAAGAAACAAAATTTATGAAAAAAATTTCTGGAGCCTTAAACCACACATTTACCAGTAGAACTCCCTGGGCTTGACTGTAAACTTGAATTAACCAATGATGTAAAAAATAGTAAAATTACTTTGTCAACTACATTCATGATGTAGGAAACCAGCGTTATGAATTAAGTTTAGAGTTTAGACACAACTTCCTTTGCATTGTATTGTGCTGATATAATGAAGAATCAAGAGCCAGACATAAAAATACTAAACACCTTACGAAAAACTTCAGACACGGGACCATCTTTTTCAGATGCAGAAAGCTCCTGTTTAACCTTTTCTATCCCTCTGATGATTGCTTGCATTTCTTCTGCTAATGACTTCAATTGTATCTGCAAGATCAGGAATTTACAATCAATATTCATTGCAATCACATTAACTAATACTGAAAGTTAGCCAATACAAACAGCGTTTTCTTTTTTGTTAAAAATGCAAATACCCATGGTTCATAGCCCTCCAAGGTGTTAATTTTCAGAAACCAACCTGCTTAAACTTTCAACACCTGGTTCTATTGACCAAGTATTCAATGGAATTAAAACATGAGAAGGGAGTTTGGTGGATCTTGATTCAACTAGTGTGCTCTTGTATGAAAGTTCTTGATTTTATGATAATGGAAAATTGCAATTTCATCTATGGTTTGTAAATTTGCACACTTTTGTAGGAGCTATTTTCTTCACAAAGTTTAAAATGATTAATTGTCGAAATTGAAATTACAGTGGATATTCATCAGAAGGCTGAAGTTGAACGAGGCTAATTTTGGACTGTTACATTTGGGTCAATTGTACTTTCCCGCCCGAAATTAGTAGTCCAATTGCATTTCCCCCATAATTTTCAATATGAAGAAAACTGCATTGAGTTAAAATGGCATTTGCAAAGTCCAATGTGATTCTTTGGATTGAAAAGGATCAAAAAGACCTTATGATTATGTCAAAAGTGATGAGCATGTCTCCCAGTCCTAGGGTTGCTTTGACAATAATTGAAACTTGAAACAAGTTACGTAATGGATTGAGTCATTTCCCACAGTTAGACACGCGCTATGCACATGCATCTCTCAAGTTATGAGGAGTACCTTAATTTGGATGATGGGGGCATTGCAAAAAAGTAATTGAAACAGGAAGGATTGTATTTTACAAATAAGAGGGGAAAGTGCAATTGGACCAGTAAATCAGGGGAACAAGGTGCAGCAGACCTTTGTTCTTTGTATATAAAGAACCAAAAAATAAGTTGTTACCTTAGTGGCTGCTTCCAGGCTAACAAGGTCAAGGTGAAAATCAAGGAGTCCAGGAAACCTTTCAGCTAGGACCTGAAGTTCAAATAGAAAAAACAGAGGTAAACCATCAAATGATATCTTCATTTAATGCAACTAAGAGTTTGAGGCTATTACCTTACAAAGAAAATGCATCAGTGTCATTTTACTGTTTGAGGCACGAGTGTCGGTTAGTTTTAAAAGACTATCCAACTTGAATCCAACAGCAGATCCTGTACAATGTAGAAACATTTTACACATTCTACGAGAACAGATATAAAGAAGCAAATAGAAGTTTGTTTACTAACATATGAAGGACCAATTATTATCTAATTTTAAAAATAGAGAAAAGTGGCACCATATAGATTTCACTTAACCAGAAGTGAGTGATAATAAAGACATTTGTATTACTAAAAATGACATACCCCGTGCTGTTCCTTGATTCAATGTGTTACCCAAATAAAGAATTTTCTTCATAATCTCTTTCAGTTTGAATGAGTTTCGAACCTATTGCCAAGATAAAATGCACAAGGTTAAGAAAGTACAAGCAACACATGTTTACTAGATTCATAAGCAAAGTACCTCTTCACAGGCAGAGTTCACTGTTTTTAAACTCTTCTTAAACTCTGTAATCTGCAACGAGGAAATAAGATATACAAGAAACCAAATCCACAACAAATTCAGAAAGAACATTAGAGACAACAGCAAACCTGAGTCCCAAACTGAATCTTGAAAGCGAATACTCTGAATTTTGACTCCACTCTTGGCACTTTCATCAGCTCCAAAAAATACTGAAACATAATCAGGTTCTTGAATTAACAAAGGTCAAAAGAATTCATTTTAATCCAAGTGTTGATGGTAAAGATTAACAAGAGTAATATAAACTTTTCCTTCCATGTGTTACCGGGCAACCAATCTTTCATTAATGGTAGTTTAGGAAAAAAAAGGTATTTTTAAATGAGATAGTAAAATTAAATAATATTAACTAACTTTTTTGATTAGCACATAAATTAGTTAATTTTTTTTAATATTTGAGTCCAGAGAAAGTATAAGAAGTGTTTTGAAATTACTAAGTTTCAATTCACATTCCATCAATTGTTTCCTTAAAATAAAACTACTTCTCTTATTATGGTAGTTGGCTACCTAATTTCTTCTCTCTTTTTACCTTATTCTAAATTTTAATGTAAGCAATGACTTCCAAACAAATCACAGCATCAGATTGTTTCATCCTTATTACTTGTAATTTTTCTCTAAATCAAACCAGAGTATAAGTAGTTTATCCTATCATTACTACTCTCTAGGGGAACTGTACACTTTCAAGACAGCCTAATCATCCTTCATGCAAACTTGAAGACACCAACACATGAATCAGTTATGGATATGCCAAAAAAGACATCCCATATAAGTTCTCTGTGCTCACATTTGTCTTTTCAAGTACTATTATAATGTTATGGTTAAAAGAAATAATTCACAAACCTTTTCACACTTCCCCAAATTCTCCTGATCACCAGTGTATCCCTATATAATCATAACCAAGACGAATCAATATTAGAAAAGCAAGAAAATTACAATTAAAGGTAGCAACTCACAGTAACAGCAAATTCTAGAAATGAAAACCTTTAATTGTCAAAACTCAAAACAAGATGTAAGGATCACATATAAATTTGTTAAGTTTCACCTTCAAAAGCTCCATCTCCTCTTTGGTAGGACAAAATTTAATGAGATTTTCCACCTGATCAACATCTAACACTGAATCATCCATAGCCAGTACTGCAGCCTGAAAATGAATTTCAACATGTTAGACAATAAATTGAAGTTACAGGGGAGATTTAGTTGCATAAAGTTTGCACATATACGGTATGGAAAGAAACTGTTTTTAAGAACATCTATTATCAAATGCTTTTAGTCTTAATTATTAACTACATACAAATCAAAGAATATTTCAAGAATCATCTTATTGCAAATGCAAATGCAACCATAACAACAACAAAAGCATTTTCCCTTTAGATGAGGTCGCCTCATGGATCAAACAACACCATTATTTCTTTCATAACCCAAGTTTCAAAAAGGACATTAATATTCAAGTCTTTTCTAATGACTTCTCTTAGAGTTTTCTTGACCTTTTTCACCTTTTTCTATTGGGCTATCCTCCATCCGATCACTCTTCTTACTGGGGCCTTTAATATGTGAAATTCTATCATCTTTTCCTTAATAGATGCTGCTCCAACTTTCTCTCTGATAAATTCAGTCATCATCTTATCTTTTCTTGTTTGTCCTCTCATAACTACAAGAAAAGACTGCACTTCTGTTGGCATTTTATTGCCCAACATTCTACACCATAAAGCATTGCCAATCTTACGGATAAATATAGCAACATTTTCATTTAAGATTTGGAGGCATTTTCGATCATCAATAACACTAATCATTTAATCCATATCATCTACCAATCTTGAAACTTATCTCTTAATTATATCACTTTGTCTGATAGATCCAGGATTCCTTAACTAAGCAACCTGTGATACAGTATGATATCCAATTTTCATCTTCAAGCCAAAGCTAGCACATCTTGCTGAACTTGAATTTAAAAAATTAAAATTTATGTTTTATGAAAAATAATACAATTGTTTATTATAATATGCTTTAATGTAAAATCCACTTGCATGATTATACTTTAAGAATTGCTCACATGAATTAAGAAATTTTAAACTATCAACTTACCATCATATCAGGAAGTGGCATCTTAACCTTTGTGAGCATAATTTCAGTATTATTGGCCCTCCTTAGATCAATCTACAATTAATTGTACAAATAAACTATTGATTACATACTCGGAAAATACTAAATGAACATCAATTCAATGATTTTGAATGAAAGCTTTAACAGCCAAAAAAGTGCATACATGAAAGAGACAATAATGAAGGGATAATAACATTAAAGTAAACTTTCTAAGATATGTCTTCAATATAGTCATTCATGCTCAATACTATATTTACCAAGGTATGTTTGATATTTTTCTTGACATAAGGAAACTGTGCATTGCTCCTTCACAGTTAAAGAGCAATTACCTAATCAGTCAAGTAAAACCACAGTGAAATGACTTCTTTTATGAACAAATCATTACGCATACAAAACAATGGTACTAATTTCCAATTTTTTGTTGTCTTTACATCGACCTTTGTTGTAAAGTACAATTCCAAATCATGATGAATTGCACTTCCAAAATGAAAGACTACCAATAAAATCCATCAAATCATCTTTCACACAATGACTATTTGAAAAATCAAATTTCAAGAATATCCACATAGAAGAATACCAAGTGAATTTTGTCAGTTTTGGATCCAACAGATTTGCGCCGCCCACCAAATTTACCATCCAAATCAGCAGGTTTTGGAACATTTGCAGAAAAAAGCTTCTCTATCTCCATAACGTCAAACTCTTGTGATCTGAGATAGAAAGTGAAACCAATCATTACAACATGAAGGATTGAAAGCAGGCAATGAAGTGTATAATTCTAGAGAATTGAAATGAATCCATAAAATCTTGCAATAACAGGCAAGTCAAATTACATTTGATGTTCTCCACGTCTTTGTAATTCGTCCCATAAACTTCCTTGCAATGCCCTTGTTACCTTACTCCAATGCAAAGGCTTTAAGGAAGATCTCCGAGTTGCCATAGCACCAGCACCTGTAGAACGTGCAGGTCCACGTCCTCTCCCCCTTGGATCAGTTCCAGTTAGTGGAAAAGGAGCACCACCTAGAGGTCCAAGAGAAGCAAGAGCACCAAGAGCCCGAGATCCTGTTGGAGGTGGGCCTCGGCCAGCTGGAGGTGGTGGAGGAGATGGGCCTCCATGCATTGGAGGTGGTGGTGGTCCACGAGTTGGAGGCGGGGGAGGTGGAGTTCTAGACAATGAAGGAGGTGGTGGTGGAGGTGGTGCTCCACTTGATGATGGAAGAGGTGGTGGTGGAGGTGGGGCTCTACATAAAGAAGGAGGAAGAGGTGGTGGTGGTGGAGCAGTACTTAAAGGAGGAGGCAGTGGTGGAGATTTACTTAAAGGAGATTGAGGTGTATGTGGCAGTGGGGATGCACGAGATGAAGCTTTAAATGGTGTTGGAGATTTTGAGGGTGGAAGGAGTGGAGCTCCATTTGTAGACGACATAGGAGGAGGAGGAGGAGGTGGTGGTGGTGGTGGTAGACGAGATATGACTCTATTTTGTTCAAGAAATTGAGGTGGAGGTGGAGGTGGAGGTGGAGGAGGTGGAGGAGGATGAAGTTGTAACATTCGGCCGTAGCTTTGTTGTGGTGACTGAAGAGATGTCTCTTTGACTCTGAGTAATGATGATAGTTGAGGGTTTGAGTCTATTTCAGCTATGTTGTCTGAAGATTTGGAATTATCCCTACAGCTTTTCAGATCATTTGTCATGTCCATAGAAACAATTGTTTCTGAGGCATGAGAACCTGAAGTAGATTTTCCTTTGGCATCAATAATTTTGTCCTTTGCAGAGGTGACATTTGACAGTGTAGCTGGTGAATTATTATTCCTTGATGGTGGATATGAGACATGCATTGGTTCTTGATAAGAACCCTTATTAGAAGGAATCCACGTAGTTGTTGCATAGGGTTTTGTTTGTTTTGCCTGAAAACCATGTGGTTCTTCATGTTTAGTCTTTTGCTTTGCTACAAATGGATCTCCCACAGGCTTTGAGTTTGAAGGAAGTTGTTTCTTTTCGGCAGAAGGAAGTAATTTATCATATTTTGGTCTGGAAAGATCAAGCACCCGCTGCCCTTCCTCAGACCCTAACTCTTTTTCTGTTTCATTGTTATCTTCACCATACTTGTTTTGCATAACCACCAACTCATCATGCGTATTCACAATGACTTCCTTTATCATAAAAGTGGCTCCATCATCCACTGCAATATCCTTCACTGCATGAGTATCTGATACCAACCTCTGGTCAAGCTTGTACTTCACATCATCAACCTGTTGATGAGTCCCATCATCTAACATGGAATCCTGAAAAGTATGAGAATCTGAATGCTCTTTCCAGACCTCTTTATGACTTCCATCATCTACTTCCTGTGCATCAATTACATTGCTGAAGATCTCTTCGGCTTCATAGAATTCCTCAGCCTCAGGTGAAGCACATTCTGTGTCATTTGCATCTCCACTCACATTGACAAAGGTGAGATTAGGTATGACAGCATCAGAATCCAAAAAAAGCACCTGATACAGATACAAAAATGTGCTTAACTCCTATTGCTTCAGAAAATAACTGATGACATGAAAAACAATAACATACCTCAAATTTGAAGTCCTTAGGGAACTGATCCTTTGCATCCCACAAAATATCAATTTCATCACGGCTCAGCGTCAATATATTTGACCGAACAAATGCAGTATGAAACATGACTCTAAACATCATCTCCTCACGAACAAAATCTTCACTTAAATGTATGCACTCAAGAACCACATCCCCTTGAACATGACAATGGATGTCAATTTTCACCAGCATACATTCTGCCTGTGGTTAAAATTTCTTAAGAGGGCATTCTATCTAATCAATTCACAATTCAATATGAACATTGAATAGCACAACTTTAAATCACCTGAAGGTAGTGGCGAACATGATTTTGGGTCATTGCAGTTGAGAATAGCAGCTTAGAACTTCTGTTGGCAGGTTTTGAAGGGTCTGGACCGTAGACACGCACAACAGGCCTGCAACCTTTTCCACCATCAAATAATGGAAGAACTCTGAGAATGAGGCAATCCAAATACAAGGGTGTTTCTGCTGGAGGCCATTGAGAACCCAAATGCCTCTTGGAAATGTACTGAAGATATCTCAAATGAGAAGGCTGTGGATTCAAAGGAGATAAAAGGTGGAGAAGCTCTCTAGGTGCTTGCTTGTACACCATTTCAAGAGTCTTGTGTTCCCCATTGTACTGTTTCCTATACAGTAGAAGACCAGCTAGCATAAATGCCAGCACAGGCCAACCACCCCTTTCACAGTGCATCAGTAGCACGTTTTGTTGCCCCTCCAAAGACAGCCAGCTTTCGCTTGACCGAAGGAAGTGATGAATCATCTCCAAAGGCAGAAGTGGACAACCCTCATATTGCAGAGGGTACTCCATAACTGTCATCTCATACTGAGACATTATGTCTGAAATTCGACTGCGCTTATGCCCTTCTCTGAAATTGAACACCATGAAAGAAGCATCCGGATAGTGATCCTGTAGCTGAGCCACAATCCCCCCAATGTAAACCTTGTACTCCTCTTCCTCCAACACATTTTTGGAGAAGCAACAATCAAAAACTGCATAAACACAGTCAAATATTACGGAAATGCAAGACTACACAACTTCATCAAGACGCTAAAAACACATAGTAAATCAATTCAATTCATAAAACTCTCAGAAAAATAAGACCAACCCTATTCACTACAGTAAACAGAGGAGACACTCAACCTGCCAAGTACCATCTTCATTACAATGCAATTAACAGAAACAACTGTTGTTGCAAGGCATAACCACAACTACAATTTCCTCAAGGACAAACAAGGTTTTAAAAAACGATTCACAAATGCAATTTTGACCACAACGTCACAGTGTTTGTGTGTCTGCAACTGCAACTGTGACTCCATTTGTCTACAATTTTCCATAATATTAATGAAGCATCAAAACCGCAACCATAGTTTAAAACCTTTAGAACATATATCGGAGTCTTTTTGAACACAAGTTTTGAAGAACTTTTAAAAACTTCTCTACCGAAAACAAAGAGCTTTTTTTAGTAGAAAAGCCCTTCTAAGTTTGCATCCAAACGTGCTCTCACAGTCTTACTCAAAACACATCTCCCACACAAAACCAACCTTCCTGGGTTTCCCAACCAACAATCCTCAATTGATGAAAGACTCCCATGACTACTAGTTTACTCCACTTATTTCAAATTCAACTCTCCCACCCCACATTCTTGTTATACTTTGAATAACCCCTCAAGTAACCCAAAAAACCCCTTACCCTAAAAAACCCAAACAAACAAGGAAGTAACCAAACCCAATGCAACAGATAACCCCAAAATAGAAAGTCCACATTGTCTTTGAAGTAGCATAAAACAACTAAAAAATTTGAGTAACTCAGGTCAAAATTCAACCACCAGCCACAAAGCAATGCTTCAATTCCCAAGAGCTCAAATTACCAAAATTAAAGAATAAAAACAAAAACAAGTATAAAAGGATATATTTTTAAGAAAGAAAAAAAGGTGCAAGTGTGGAAAAGGTAAAGGCAAAGGAATGTGAGATTGGAAGAGTGAGAAACCATAGAGTCTGTCGGAGATCTCGAGAAGGTGATCGGGCGGTTTCCGGTAAAAGAACCTTCGGAAGAGAGCCATTGAATAAAGTGTTGTTTGGTTGGAACTGGGCCATGCGGTTCACTTCACTTCCCTTTCTAGCCTTTTGCTTAGTTAAATGAATCATTTTTATTTTATATACTAAACTCTCACTCTTCCATTTTCCATCATCAACATTCAACATTCAACGTCAAATCAAATCACTTCTTTGAGTCTTTCTCACGAAAACCATCATCTTCGTCCATTTCGCTCATGCCCATGCACAACGCTTACAATTCTCTTACTGCATACCTTCATCATTCCATTTCTTTCAATGTTTTCTTCTTTTTGGACAACAACATACGTTTTACTCTTGTTCAAATTCTTGTCTTCCACTCCTTTTTCAAATTTTCAATGGGATATTTCCACAAGTTGGATTGAAGCAATAATAATTTTAGTTCATTAAATATTATAAAAACTCAATTTTAGTGTCTATTGATAAACATTTAAATGATTATTGTTGATGTGATACTAATCTATGACATTATAAACATAGATGACATAATGTGATGATGTATCATGTAAAAATAAATGGAAAAAATGTAAGAATGTTTGAAGATGGGATTATAGCTAAAAAAAACTCAAGTTTTACATCACCAAAAATCATTTTTTAGTTAGATGGGTCAACTTTTTAAATAAATAAATATTGTTATTATTATATTAAATTTTTTAGTATATTATAAATGAGTAAAGATCAAATTTGGTCCTTAAGAGATACTAAAGGTGATCAATAGGTCTTCGAAATATTTTTTATGCATCGAGACCCTTAAAATTTAAGTTTATTATGTTTGTTATGCAAGTTAATCATTTTATTATATTCAATTACTAACTCTATTAGTCTCATAACTACGCAACAATTAATTGTCACGTTGGTAACTATTATGTCTCCTAATTGATTGTTTTCTCTCTTAATCTTCTAATATAGATCATAATGCAATGTTTTGAAATTTCCCAATGTCATGTTTAAATATTCTGGCTATTGGTGTTCTGACTAAAATGGAAGGTTGTTGTTAGATTTATTAGGGTTTCCTGTAGTTGAATTTTTCTTTCCCAGTCATCCTTAATCTCTTCTTTTGTTTTGGTTAAAGGTTTAAGATTATAAACCCTAAATTATTGAATTTAGGGTTTAGCAAAATGAATGATCATTCTAAAATATATCAAGTAAGGATGCGCAATTGAATATGGGTACTTCTATCTTAATCTAAGCACCTATAGTTAAAATATTTAAATATAGTAAAGTGTATATTACTAATTAGAAAGTACCAAAATCTTGCATTATAACTCATATTTGGTGATTGAGAGGGTGAACAATCAATTCAGATAGAGAATACGTGTCAAAATGACAATTAACAGTTGACTACTCATAAGACTAATAAAGTTAGTAAATAAGTATAGCAAAATAATTAACTTGAATAATAGAGTTAAAATTTAGAGATCCAAATACCACAAAAAATCTTTTAAGGACTCATCAGTCTATCATCTTTCAAATACCAAATTAGATGTTTACTCAATTATAAATATATTAAAATCATATACATATTGTCTTATTTGATGAAATTATTAAAAAGTAAGTTTTTTTTAGTAATTATGTTATTAATGTTAAATATCTATCGATTTTATTGATAATTAATTTTCTTTGAAAAACACCATTTTTATTGATTTTTTTTTCTTTTGACAATATTTTTTCTATTTACAAGACTTTGAACTCGAGATTTTAGTTAAGAACATCGATTTTAATTTTATTTTAACTAATAACTTGTGTGGTTGAAAAAAAATTATAGACTTTTTTTTATTAAGAAAAAAAAACTACGTTACGAAGTTGTTTTGTTTCCCTAGGATATTTCTTTCATGATCTCAATTGAGGGATTATAGGATTTTGAAGATAAAAAAGTGAATCAATGATGGTTTGGCAAAGGTTATTAACATTAGTATTTCTTGTTTAGGAACCAATAATGGGGGAAAGTTATTGATCTAAACAATGTGAAGCACGCTCGGGATATTAGCATGTGATTCTACTTTTACTCTTCATAAAATGGTTGTTTTTGTACCTTTGGCAGTGGATAGAGAGAACAAGAGGTAGTATGACAAGTCTTAAACTTGGTTTAGCTAATTATATAAATTATATATATATATATATATACTTT